CCATGCCGGAAGATATGTATTATTATGTATCAAATGATTATTATTTAATACAAAATGTTTGCTTCATTATGATTAAACATTAAACTAGGTTTTATTAATAATAAATACAGTTAATTTATTCAACAAATAGTAATATATATAAATAAACGTTAATATTTCAATAAACGTAAATAAACCTAAAAAGACGTTACTATTTGTAATTATTTGATATAAATAAACGTAAATAAACGTAAATAAATGTAAATAAATGTAAAGTCATGAAAATAGTTTAGTTTTCTTCTGCAAAAAGCTTTTTCAATTCTTCTTTGATAACAGCGTGTTCTATTTTATCTTGTATTTCTAGTTTCTCTCGTCTTTTAGTGATATAGGAAGATACTTCAATAAATAATGCCTCTATTTCACCGAATTGGTTTTCTAACAATTCCATCCTCTTCTTGTTTTCTGTAATAATCTTTTGATAAAATTATTAATCTTTTCATTCTTTAAATAGCCAATTAAATTACTAGTGATTCTCCAACAATCCAATTCTATTTCTATTTTTCTACTATTCTGACAATTATTGTATTCCTCAAATAAAGATTTATAAGAATTTTCTAAATTATAAACCAATGTCTCAGTAATAAAATGAGTATTATAATCAATTTCATTTCCAAAATAAGTTTATCCAAAACTTATTATAATAGGACCCCAATTAAAGGTTCCATGAGGAACAAGTTCTTTAAACACAATACTTTGGCCAAGTCCAACAATACATAATTCAAGTCCATATTTGTCTTCAAATTCTTTTAAAGAATTTTGTTTCGAAGATAAAAAATTCTGAATAGTTTCATGTAGAATTCCAATATCATCAAATAATAATACTTCATTTGTTTCATTAGAAGTTCTTTCTTTCAAATTTGGTAAAATAATATTATCCTTAAAAAAGTAAAATATTTTAAATCCAGTTATTACTAAATGAATATTAAATAACTGGCGTTTAAAATCAGTAGTATAAAATTTACTAATTAAACCCCTGTGGGTTTAAAAACATAAATTTAGCAAAATTATTACTAATCATTTCTTTAATTAACTCATCATAATTATTAATAGATTTAATAGGAATATTATTTGATAATTTAATAATCTTTTTAGAATGTGGTTTAAAATGATCATAGGGTCTAACTTTATCTGGTGTTCCGTTTTTACAAACAATACAAATTTCATTTGATGACTCCTTCTTATTCATTGAATCTTTTAATAAAGTTACTAGTGTTTCCGATTTAGAAAAGCGTATTTGATTATTGATACAATTAACAATACACTTTCTAATCGATGAAGTTGTTGTTGTTGTTGGGGTTGATGTTGTTGTTGTTATTGTTGAAGTTGTGTTTTGATGGTCCTGTTTTTGTTTTTTGCGTTTGGGTTGTTTAAGCATTTTTTTGACCCTGCAATAAATTTTTTATTTTTATTGCAGGGTCAAAAAATACTTTGTTAGGTGAAACAGAAGTTGAAGTTGATTAATGTTATTGTTGAACTTGTTGATGTAAGTGATAATGATGGTATAAAAGTGATAGATTAAATGTTATACTTTATTAAAATGTTTCTTTATAGGTTCCATCATACCACAACTTCAAAGAAATCATTCCGAATGAAACTGTAACCAGTTGAGTGATTGAATTATGAGAAACACTTAATCTATAAACCATGTTTCGAACATGATCCCATCCTTCCATGAATTCCAATTGTCTATTGCAATGTTCATTAAACTCATTCAACTCCTCTCCTAAAAATGAATAATCATTGTCTTCGATAACTGGAAAACTGAAATCATTTGATGATGTACTACTTGTTGTTGATGTAGAATCGTTGAATATTGTTATTCCTTCCCCATCTTCAAATTCCGATTCATAATTATTATTATCTAAACTATATTGATTCAAAGTCCATCGTCCATTTCCGAATGTTGGTAAATATGGAAATTCAAACACATATCTTGAAACATTTCCTTTTGTAAAACAGCCAATAGAATCGTATCCAAGAACCTTTCTACTTCTAATTGTACAATGTTCTCCATACATATCAAAGTAACTGGTAAATACATTTCTGGTACACTTTGAAACTGGCATACAGAATACAACTTTCTTGAATCCATTTGCTACTCTACCAATCATACGATCACAAATATCCTTTTCCAATCTTTTCATTTCCAAAAAATGTAAGAAATCTTGTAGTTCATATTTGTTAAAGGTGAAAATCTTATCATCATCTGTATAACCGGAATAAATTGATTCATGGTTAACATTATGTTGATTATTTTCAAGTGGAGAAGGAAGATATAATATTTTAGGTTCAATAGAAGTGAATGGATTATTGCCCTTTTTGATTTGTTGTTTGTATATGAGAGATTTTTTAAAGATTGGAAAGTCATTTTCATCTCTAGGAAATTCTTCTTCTTCCTTCACTATGATGTTGTTGTTGTTGTTATTCGTTAGCATTTGTTGTCTAGCCTTTTGTGTTGGCCATCTAACCATAGAAAGCTCCTCTCTATGCTTCTTGAATAAAGAGCGAAGTTTGAAAGAAGATGTACCAAGTACTTTAGCAGCTTGCTCTTGGCTCAAGTGAAGAACGGACTTCAGTTCATCCAATGTTAATTGCTTCTTCTTTGGTGAAGTTCCATCCAGTGGATTGTAGTGAATGAAGGACATTGGTGGGAGATGTTGTGTGCTGTTGTTAATAGGTACGGTATTGTTTTGAACATTTTTTTTACCATGTGTTTTTTGTATGGATGTATTTATAGAACAATTTTGACAACGCCAGCAAAAGTAAACACAGAGAAGCCACACATTTTTAACACGTTGTTTACCTTGTTATCTTCCTCTGAAAAACACAAAAAGCTTAATTTGGTTTTCAAATAGATCTCAGATTCTCAAGAAATTCAACTTAGCTCAACTATAAATTCATGCGCTTGTTGCGATTGGCGCCCAAAAACCAGTAAATTTCAAAGCTTAAAAAAAATCCATTACACAACTTGAACATGAAAACAAGGAGAGACAACTGCGAATGTCCACATTAAAATCTCAAGTCATGAGGTGATTCTTGTGGTGGTATCTTGTTGTGGTTCTCAAGTAGTTGAGGTTGGAAATCCTTGGTGATTACATAATCATAAAAAAACAGCTGAATCGGCCGATTCCAACTTGAAGAATTTATATTACCCAAATAATAATAATTTAATTTAACTTCTTCGTGATGATGGCTTCAAATACAATGTTGGAGGACGATAAGAGTATTAATATCAACAATAATAGTAGTAGTGTTAATGAAGAGGAACTCCAAAAGATAATCAACAATAACAACAATAGTACACACACCAATAATGGAACAAGTGCCTGTTCATCATTGGTAGAATCGAATGGTGATGATAGATCTTCGATGGTATCATCGTCTGATGATGATGGTTCCTTTGAGGGACGACAAGATGACATTTATCATCACCCTGACTTTTCTCATCGGGGAATGATTCACAAGATGAAGAGTAATGATTCGTCGTCTTCGTCAATTCTGTGGCAATTTATCAAACAGTTACAACCTCAGGTTGACCTTTTGAGAATGTGTTCACCTATTTTCATTATGAGACCAATTTCAACACTTGAATTGTATACCTACTATACAGAACCAACACTGGCTTTGAAGGTGTTGAGGGAAATGGATAGTGAGCTAGATAGAATGTTATGTTGCTTACTCTTTTCACTCATTTCGTGTTCAAATACTTTTGGAGATAGCTTTGAAGGTTTAAAACCATACAATCCAATTCTTGGAGAGGAGTTTCATGCAGAGTGGCATTCTTCAGTCAATGAACAACAACAAGAGGAAAAATCAGGAGAAAAGAAAACAGCCATGTGGTTGGAAAATTGGCTCTCCAATCAAACTTCACAAGACCA